AACAGTTTGCTATGAAGTGCAAATAGCGAAATTGTAGTTATAGAGCGCTAATATGATTTTTATGTTTGTTATTCCTAAAAGTTACTCATTAATTTTTGTATCACAATATTCCACAAATTATGCCCAACATGACTTACTTATGCCTAATATTATTATTAGAGTGCAAAAATAAAGAAGGAAAAAATGTGCATTATAGCAAACAGTTAATTCTAAATAAACGCTATAACTACAGTTTCATTTAATTTCAATTCTCAACAAACTTTTTGCCATTCACCTCTCTCCTCTGAATCTCGCTCGCCACTCTCTGGAACCTCGCTCGTCACTCTCTGGCTAGCTTCTCTCACTTTATACAAACACAAATGTATAAATTGTGGTTGTGTTTGTATAAAGTGAGAGAGAACTATATATACAAATACAAATACATGTCTTTTCATCCTATACACTTATGATTATACAAATACAAATCTTCCCCTTCTCAATTCTCTTTTGTCTTTCTCTCTTTCTCGCTTTATACAAACATAAATTATACAAAATACAGTGTATAATTTGTGTTTGTATAAAGCGGGAGAAAGAGAGAGATTTGATATACAAATACACATGTTTTAACTCGAATCAATTGTACACAAATTTAAATTTTATGCAGATATACAAACATAATCATTGATACATATACATAGTAGTTACATATTTACAATTATCTAACCGATATGTATATACAATCGCTGCGATTTTATACAAATTAGATGTCATGCGAATCAGATGTCTGCGATTTATACAAATCAAATGTTGTTTGCTATGAAGCGCAAATATCAAAACTGTAGCTATAGAGCGCTAATTTTTATGTTTGATATATTGCTCAATAAATAAATAAAAAAAGAGAATCAACCTATTTAAAGAGCAAAACATACATGGATTTTGGGCCGTTTGTGATACGCAAGTCCATAGGCTACATCCAAAATTAGCCCAAGAAAATAAATAACGTCATATTTCTTTAGCCCAATAGATTCGATTCCACAGTCCAGTCAATAGTTCCTTGTTATTCCATAAAAAAAACAAGACATTGAAGGGAGCTCAAACTTTTTGAAGAGAAAAAGATGAACGGCGTAAGAAAAGGGCCGCCGAAGCATCAGAACAAAGTCGCCTGGAAACCTAACGCCGGTATCAAAATCAATGAAACGGTACGTCTACTTTTATTCTCCAGCGACCAAACTTTTAGTCAAGATTTTTGTGGGTCTGAACGATTGATTGTTGGTGTTGCTTTTATTTGCAGGAAGTGGGTGGAAAATTTAGGCCTCTCTCAGAAATAACAGGAGTATGTCTTCGTTGTAGAGATCAAATTGATTGGAAGCGCAAGTATGGAAAATACAAAGCCATTACTGAACCTGCTAAGTGGTAAACTTCTGCTTCTCAATTTTATTTTATTTTGTTTTGTTTTGGTTGAATTGGTTATCAAGAGTTTTTTTAGTTACTAAAGATGCCTAAGTTTAGTTTGTTTTAAGGGTAATTTGTAGAAGATAAAAATATTCGAGGTTAGCGAAACGCATATATAGCTGGTTAAAATTTCTATAGTACATTGTTATACTTTGTTCATTGGAATTAGTGAACCATGGTACTCAGCAGTCACTGACTTATGCTCCTGTATTTTTATTTTTTTTATATTTCTGATAGTCAGAAGTGTTCGAAAAGAAACGTGCGTCAAGCTTACCACAATCTCTGCAATGGTTAGTTTTGACTTCTTTTACAAATGATTTATTTTATTTTATATGTATTTGTTATAGTCTAATGAAATAATATGATATCAACTTAATTGGTGAAATGAGGATTCATATAGCCAACCCCAACTTATTTTGGGATTGAGGCGAAGTTGTTTTTGCTACAACATAATGAAATCCTCTATGCCTTATTGAAATCTGTGTAGTTTTTGTTTGATGTTTTTGCATTTATTTGTAAAATCACAGGCTGTGCAAAGGAGCATAAAGTATGTGCCAAGTGTTCATGTCGTGTTGGTCAAGTGGTTGGAAGGTGTAAAGATTCCTCCTTTTCCCCCCTTCTCTTCCCAATTTATTGAATCTCTATTTTGCTTCAATTTAAATGATGAACATTGTTTGTGGAAGACATCTCATATGCTTATTATTGGTTTCTCATAGAGATGTTTCAGAAGTAGAGGCTGAGAAAAAAGCTCTTGAGGAGGTTTGTTTTCATAGCCTTATCCTTATGCTTCTCTGTCATCTTTATGATCAGCGGGTCCATTTGTCAACCTATGAATCTAATGTATTATTGTTGGTTACAGGCTATCAAGAATGCTCGAGAACGGGATAGGCGGTCACTTCTACGTGCTGTAAGAGAATTTTCTGCTGAATTAACTTTATGATAAATGTTGTATGGGAGACCTGTCTTGTCCTTGTTCCTAGATCGGCCCCAACCCCAAACTCGACCCACAATGGCAATTATTCAATAAGAAAATATTTATGACTAGATAGAAAAACCAATTTCATGCTATGTGTGTTAGACAAACAATTATCAGTCGTTCTAGTTTCTACACTCGCTCATTTGTCTGTTTTTCTTTTTTCTTAATAACAATGGTGCTTGAGCACCTTGTGTGCACATGGGCTATTTTTAGTTTGGTACATTTTACATATGTTTAGTTCAAGACCACAAGATTCTACTTTCTTAAACTCCGTACCAAGTCAAAACCAGTTAAACATATTGAAACGGGGGGAACAATATTTAGCATAATTTTGAATGTTATAATCCTCCCAAATGCCCTTCTCTCAAATATTGTATGTCAGATGAAAGCCATCTTTAACATGTAAATTGTACATCACCTTGTTCTTGCAAATACAGATGATGTAGATGACTGTTAATGGTCATTTTCATTCTTACCTCTTTTGGATCTACCCGATTCTCTTCTATGTGTTTCTCCTGGAGTGGATTGAAAATAGTTGGAAGAGGGTTAGTGCATTTATAGTCTGTACGCATAAGCATATTTTTGTTCTCTGGATGTTGGATTGTCTGCTTATGTGTACATATGGAGTAGTAGTTATGCTTAAAGTTGATTTTTAAAGCTGAACAAAATGTTTTTTGATCAAGTAAGATGTTCTCTTGGCATCAAGAAGATGCAAAAAGTACAAAGATGGGATGTTAGCTCCAAATACAGCATTTCTATACTAAACACTGGATTATAACCAAAAAATGAAAATGGTAGTTTAGCCAGGCACAGTGAGCCAATGAAGTCTAGAAAGGGAATAACATAATTTCAATAGAGATTACTCCAACTAAAAAGAAACAGCAGACATCTAGTTTTCAAGGGTATATAGGAGCTGAAATGCCATCAAAACATCTGAAGTTCTGTCAAAATACACCAGAATATGCTAGCTGGGAGAATTTTCCTGATACTCTTGATGGTCCTGTTGACTTTCCAAAAGTACCATTTTTCAACTGCTTCCTTGATACTCTGAGGTAGTGTCCAACTGATGCCAATAATTGAAAAGAACACGTGGCAGACTACAGCAGTCACTGTCCTGCTGGCTACTTTTAATTGCATAATACCCATTAAAGAGTACGTCTCCATGAGCCATGAAATGGATTTTGAGAAGTGAATGTCTATATGTAACGATTGGTTGGTTCAATGAATGGGAAGGGGACAGTTGATTTACTTCTCACGTTCTCATATTTATTTTCTATCTAATTGTACCATTTGATAGTATAAGCCCACATGACATCCTCCTCTTTTTTTCACTTTCCATCTTCTTTATGTATTACCAGGTTGTAAATACTCCTTCATTTCCCCTTTACCATTTGTGATATCTACTGTGCTAAGCAGTGTAAAAGTATCTTGGTTTGCTGGAGTTCCATCACATTGGTGTCTGTTGTATGATTATGTTGCTTTCATGATGTTTCTGAGATTCTTAGTGTGCATCTTATGTCTATGCAACAGATGAACAAAGGGAAGTCACAGAGTTCAGAGAAAAACCTAACTCAAGATGACATGAAGGTTGGTGAACTGAATACAGCATCATCACTTGAGGAATATGCGGAGGTAAGCCATGATGAAGATGAAGATCAAGTTATTTGAGATGCGCAATTTGGAGAATAAATCCCATATGGCCCTTTATAGATCTCTCTTCATGGTCCCTAGTTTGATGCACACTAGCTCATTTGTATTGTCCGCTTTGGAGAAAAGTAAATTTATTTGGCACAAATGATACAGGCTGTTTGGTTTACCCCCCTTTCTACAGTAAAGGACTAAGAGTGAGATCAACACGCTATTCCATTCCTTTTCCATTTCATATTTGTTAGCTAGTGAAGAGTTTTGAGAGTGTAATCTAGAGTAAAATAGATTCTTAAGCCTATTTAATGTAATTCAGCTAAAAAGACAGCTTGCTAGTTGCTTCATAATGTGATGTAAGAGCATTGATGTTCTGTTGGTCAATTTACTCATAGTAATTGGTCTTTGGTATTTTGGAACTTGATGGCCCGTGAAATTATCTCAAGGCTGAATTGGCTGGCTGAGCGTTTGCAACTCCAATATTTGTGTGATGCAGGCAGCCTTTACATTGATTTGAATCTTCTCTATTCAGTCTTCTGACTGTAAGATAAACTAAGTGTGCATTGATGTCAAAAGCCATTGAAATATGCCCAAGAATCATGATGTCCAAAATGTTTAACAAGATCTGCAGACAATTAAGAGTGTTTAAATTATTAACTTTTCATGATCAGTTGTCAAGATGGTTAGTGCAACGACAGTAATGAGAGTTTTAGTTTTCATTCTCATGGCTCATGGAACCCCTTGTGTCCACTTATACAAAACAGGTAATGCTCCTCTTTGATGGAATAAACATCATGGCAATTACAATCTATTTGCATTACTAACTAAAATATGTAAATTACTAGCGAAAAAATGTCAATTACATGGATTGACATGCAGACCTAGTACAATCGGGCAATTCTGGATACATAGACAAGTATAAAAAGAAGGGATCTAAATTTTTGGAAAGAAATCAAATCAACAAATATAAAGCCTTGAAAAATGAAGTTGATCAAGCATTTATCTATTCTTGTATGAATGAATATTACATTTTACATTTATTCTCTGGCAAAAATTATTCAAGGATACGTCCTTCGTCCTCCTTGTAGCGACTCACTACAACCAATGAATGTAGCATTTATCTGGCAAAAATCATTTAAGAATATTGTGAGAAATCCCTAAGAAAATTAATTGTATTTTGGCCAGGTACTTGGATTCCAAGTCAACATATAACACCGTCATAGTGTCATTTGTATACAGACAGCTAATCAGCCGCGGTCTTGTTATCTCCAGCTCTCAATACTGTGTCAGTAGTATAAAAACCCTACCGCAAGAGTCGTCTGGCAGCTAGCTTTCATCAATCTATTCGTTTACTGCACACAAGCGCTCTGCCAACAAAAAAAAATCAAGTTTCAGGAAAAATTATTAAACAAGTTTTCATATATTCATTTTAAGAAAATAGTATAGTAGTAGCGTATTCCATCTAAGTTATTTCCAGAACCTGAAAGGATGACACTTAAGAATTTTAACAATAGAGCTCTTTCTCTTGATTAATTGGCAATCATATTGTCATAAATGGAGCATCAGTTAGAAGTTAATTTTTTTACTAGAATCAAGAACTAGACCAGTGGAGCTTATCTCCTTTACGAATATGCTAAAGCTATTTGTCACAAATTGAGTACCAACTGGATTTTATTGTTTGCTCACTATGCTACAAAGGACATACTTGTGAACGTCTAATTTAGGTAAAACAGCTTGCATCAAGTGAAGTCTGATAGAGCAGACATACACCTCTTTATAACAAACCAGATTTATAGACACAGAATCAGTAGATAAACAGATTGGTCACAGAATCTGATAAAACTGATAATGAAACATTAAGAACAGGAAAGCCTCAATTTTATAGGTAAATGTAATAGTTATGATAGCTAGTGACTTGAGACATACCAAGATCAATCACAAAATCAGAATAATGTGAATACAAAGGTCCCATATAAACTTGGAAAAAGAATCACATAAGAAGCCAAGGTTACTGATTAAATCAAGTGGAAGACCTACCAGTTTGATTCAATTGGACACATTAATAACAGCACCATGTTAGGTTTCGAAGATGACACTTGGACTTCCAAATATTATGACATATTGCTCATGAAGTAGTTAAAAGTAAACGAAAGAGAAGAAGAGGTTAAAGACCCTACTGAGATATTCATAGGCAAGTATCATGGAGGTTCCCCACGCTGACATGCTGACAAATCTTGGACCTAATCCCCTGTAAAATCCTGTCCAACCATCCTCGGCAATTAGCTGCTTAACTACTTGCCTTGCAGTAGGTCTCTTGTCGTGTCCCATCACCTGTAATGCATGAAAAAGAAGGTCCTTACATAACAAGACTCGAAGCTGAGACTAATTACACGACATGCAAGACAACTAACTAGGCAAGAGTTTTCATAGGAATTGTTTTTCAACACTCACAGTTATGTATCTGACCACCAAAGGGAAAACAGAATATCAACAATTTCTATACAGATGAAAAAAGCAGCTATTAATGCACAATTGTGTGCAACCAATCTGCACATAGAAAACAAAAAGAACACCTAAACCATCTAAAAGGGAGCAGCTACCAAAGTTCATAGTATAGTTGTAAGTAGTATGTTGCTCGCACTCTCTATAATGCTGACGCACTCTTGCCGGATCATCCAAAAATCCACTACTTTTGGAGGATCCGACACGAACCCAATGGCATTTTTGAAGAGTCCAAAAAGAACACCTAAACCATCTAAAAGGGAGCAGCTACCAAAGTTCATAGTATAGTTGTAAGTAGTATGTTGCTCGCACTCTCTATAATGCTGACGCACTCTTGCCGGATCATCCAAAAATCCACTACTTTTGGAGGATCCGACACGAACCCAACGGCATTTTTGAAGAGTCCGAGCAGCATAAGCCTTCATAGAGAATGAAAGAAGGGAACAGCCATCCAAGTAAACATATAAGGAAAAAGGAGAAGCATCCAAGATAGGCACATGAATATAATCAAGCATAAACAGTACGGAAAATTTTGAAAAATGCAGAAAAAGCAGTAGCTATTTTGAAGAAAGATACAAGCAAGAGAATTCATAACAGAAACCAATGGTAATACCTGCAACCGAGTTTTAATGGTGTCCAACGGAGTTGTTATGCAAGATGCAGTAGCACCGGCAATGATCCCACCAGCAGCTTGAACTGAGACTATTTTCCCCTGGCTGGGAGCAGGCCCACCATGCTCAGTTCCATTATCCAAGAGCTTGCTGATAGATACCACAAGCAATTGATAAAGTCACAAAAGGATTACCCAATAGAAATCTGTAGAACAATAATACTTGATGATGCAACCCAATTCAAGGGTATAACAAGAAAGTGAATGGGAGAAAAGGCACCAAGTCCACTCTTAATGAATTTTGAAAGATCAGCATTATCGCCTAACCTCCATATGAAGCGCTGGCTCGAACCATAACTTGCCCACCATACAGCACTGGATGGGGAGTATGTTAGAACAGATAGACTGAATCCTCTATATAGTCCACGAATACCTTCTGACTTCAGAACTTTGCGAGCAACATCCAAGCCTCCATTGTAGCTTGCATGTCCTGAGTATCCTTGCACCATTAACCTTTGACTAACCTTTTTCATCAAATTTCATGAAATTAATTTCAGAACTTGAAAAAACTCAACAAATTGTGGCTGGCTGCAGTGTTATCAAAGGTGAAAAACGCAAAAAAGCTCTAAGGTCCATGGGGGCTTTAAGCGCAAAGCATAAATAAAGCGTGGGATTTAATGAAAAAAGGCGCAAACGGAGAAAAAATACAAACATATATGTTTAGTCCAAGACTAATAATTATAAACATATATGACAAATATATGTCCAAAGAAATTGAAAAAAAATTATGATAAAGTGAAATATCAATTGTTTAGCGTCACTTCTTCATAAGAGGCTCGTTGGCAAGGAAAAGTTTGTCTTAGAATCTTGATGACGACGCTGAAGCACGCATAAAGTGGGGTGAAGCGCTCAACATGTTTTGAGTCTCACTTCAGGGTTTAAGCGCGCTTAAAGCGCGCCTTTGATAACATTGGTAGGATATAGGGTAGTAACAATAAAAAAAGGAAGAGCATAAACCTTAGAAACACAACTTAAATAATCACACTGCTATGCTCAATTCAGCCAAGTGTAGTTAGTGTTCTAATGCAAATTCGAGTAAATGACAAAAAAGAACAAAGAGCAATCTGATAATTTAAGAAAGTATTCTCCAGATTTAATCAGATAGTTAATCTAGCTATAAGTGGATTTCTAGAGAATAAATTATGACTAATTCACAGTCCACTTATCCAAGTCATTATGCCACTACTAATGAGAAAAAAGAATGAGCAGATAAAGGCCATACTATGTCAATTGGAACAAAGACAGATTGTGAACAAAGAGACGCCAGCATGCCAGCAACACCATTTGCTATAGCTGCCTGTACAGGTTCTGATAGTTTGAACGGTTCAACCATCTTAAATGCAGTCACCTTAGTGGTCTCTAGTGCTGTGAGAAATATAATTCTGGCAGGAACCGCCCCTGTAATGACAGTTCCAAAACCTCTATATAAACCGGGAATGCCATCATTTCGCACTAGGCCCCTGACAACAGAAAATGCACTCTCGTTTGCAGCATTATTGGTTGCCACCTGCATTCTAGTCTTGATGACAGAAATGGGGTATAGTGCAACAGTAAGCCCTGTAAATATCCCAGCTCCTACGACATAGAACCTAGTCTTATCAAGCCTGCATCAGAGGTGGAAGATATAAAGAGAAGCATGAAGTTTAAAAGAAAAACTTAAAAAGAGGGATGTAAATATATAGAAGGAAGCCTGCATACATGCAACGAAATTATCCCTTTAGACCACTACATCATTAAAAGATTAAGCGGCAGCACAAACGGATTCTACTTGACAGTTAAATAATTATCCTATAAGATAGAGAAACTTAAATTTATGTTAAAGATTACAGAACTTTGGAGGCATGAAATCCACCTGAGATAGAACCTGAAAATTCTCCATTCTACTGATTTTTCCAGCGTCTTGGTGAACCTTTTGTCTACTAAATAAATATGTAAAATAAGAATCTATATTGAATACAGTTTAAGCCTCAGGCAAGTCACTTTTATAGTACACAGGACTGTGTAAAACGAAGTATTAGTCTGCCTCTCTGGTTTAGCCGGGAAATCATTTTGCAATGCCCACTCACAATTAACTCCCATTTCAAACTAAATCACTTTCTAAGATAAAATTTCATCCTCAGGAATACTATGAGTCCCAAATGGCAACCTTTGCATTTCATGGCTAATTCTCGAGATAACTGCATAAAGATCTCAGCTAATTTTCAACCCAACCCAGGCGCAATCTTGAAATTAATTATATTCTTAACCCTAAATTATTGGAAACGAATATCAATTTCCATATTCAAACACGTATTAATAACAACCTGCAACACCCATCATCATTTTACATAGTTAAAACACATAATCATTCCACCATTAGGATACGAAAAAAAAAAGAATATCAAATTACCAATAAAGAAAAGCTTACTTGTCCCAGTTAATCTCGGTTTGTTGAAATGGCTTCCTTGTAGATCCAGCAACCTCCATTAAAAATACAACTGTTCAAAACCCTAGCTCGGCTAATATGAAAGAAAGCAAGTCGTTATTTTTTTTGGCAGCAAATTTTGCAAAACAAATTGGAAAATGGAGAGTCTACAAAGAATATTGTAATCGGAGAAGTTTCTTGGAGGAAAAGCACCGACCAAATGGTCAATATAATGCTTCTCCTCCTTCTATTACCAACTTCTTAAATCGGTTTATTCGTTTTGTGTGAAATTATAATATTTGGAATTGGAAACATAGAAGTTATTAGGTCTTTATGCATTGGCCTTTTCCTTTTTATTTTTTCTTATAGAATATTGAATTGTTTTATTTAAAAACTACGTCATTCGACTCATATTAGATGGACACTTTCTATTTTATGTGTGAATTGATTAACTTTACTATTTTATCCTATGTTAATATAATCAGCTTCTTCAAAATTTGTTTAAACTTCCAAAAGTCATATTAATTGTAGGTGTAAAATGAGAATAAATTAATTAATTTTAGCTTGATTGTGATCAAGTAATATGGGACAAGTATTTATAGTAATATGTCCATCTAATATGGGACAAAGGGAGTACTTATTAAATCACTCATATAGATATTTACGACTCGACACTTAGACTTGTGTAAAGATTTTTTATTTTTATTTTGGAACTTCAAAATAAGCTGCCGCCGCTACAATCTCTGACACAACCTAGTGCATTAACCATGCACAAAATGTAAAATCACACTAGGAAAACCCTATGTGACAGGCTCGACTCATCACCTCCAAATCAACTGAGTCATCATGGAAGAACAACTTGTATAAAATTGAACAAATAGACAAATGTATCCTACAAAGCGCTCTATGTGGCAATTTGCATCATAAACGATGTCTTACCTGTATTACACCGCATAAAATATGTGATCTACATATTCAACTTTATATAAATTTATATGTCTACTCGTGTACATAAAAAATTAAAGAATATAAATAAAAATTGAGATCAAATTAAACAACATTTTTTGCATTGCGTCAATTACAAACTTCAACCCAAATGGGTTTGGTTTCATGAGACCAACAGATGTAATAACTAGACATGTCTCGTTAACTATAAGATTACTTATTGCACTTTTCTTCAAATAATATTTTCAAAAATATAAATTAAAGAGATAGAAATTCAAGAAGGAATTAAAGAAATAAGACCCAAGTAGGATAATTGAAACTAAATTAATTAACGAACGAAATAAAGAGATAGAAATCCAAGAAGGAATTAAAAAAATAACAATAGTTTGATGTATGAAATCAATTGCCCCACAAAGAAATGAAAGTAAGAATCAAGGATATAGAGATTTATACAAAAACAATTGTTTTGTGGCATGTATTTCCAAGTTTAATATAATTGTTCTTGATAATTAAAAACATTTCAAGATAATACATAAATAGAGTGAATATTGATATATTATATTTTAAGACAAGTACAAATATAATAATATAAAAAACAACTCTTAATTAATATTTTTTTTAAAAGTAAAAGATAAAAGAGAAACACGACAAATGACGGGTAATAATTTGATGAAGTATTGAGAGCTAATAGGATCTCAAGTCCAACTTCAGCAGAAATAAAAAAACACTAGGTGATTTATTTTTCAATTATCAGAGAAAAAATAAAACACGAAAAAAGATAATTTAAGACTAAAGAGTATCTTGGCTCCAATCTGGTTACATTGGGTAGATGGTAGGGTTTTAATTATTAACGTAACCAAGAATTGTCTATTTTCTGATTATTCTTTGATGGAGGGGACTCGAGATTCTCGAATTTGGCTTGCGCATCTTTGTTTTCTCTTACCTTAAAATGGAAAATAATTACAATGTAATGCTTTTTATTTATTTGGTATGTAGACCCTAATTAATTTTAGTCCACTTATTCGCCTAACACTATGTAGCCTATATCCCAAGCAAACCATCTCCAACACCCAATTTAATATAGTTTCAATTTATGTGATATTTTTTATTTTTTGAAAGTTAAACGATTTAAGATTAATCAGAAATTTACATATAAAATCTTTAACTTTTTTTAAATGAAATCTACATGTTTATAAACTAAGTAAAAAGTGCTACTTAAGTTACTGTAATTAACAATTCAAAATAATTATAAGATATATAAAAAAACTATGATTAAAAATAAACTTGTTAAATTTTTTAAATTTTGAGAGATGTCACATGAATTGGAACAAACGGAATAATAAATTGGAAAGTAACATGAATTTTATTTTAATTGCAGTGGCTAGTGGGTAAATAGTGACCACCACTATCTAGGAGGATTTGAATAAAGTGGAGTTTATTGGAATGGACAAGCTTGGCCTCAGAGTTGTTTAGCTTCTTCCACTTGCCACCTGACTCTTTGTCCTTCTTTTTCACCCCCTTCAGTAAGTAGCACACAGAAAACCAGAAAAAGAAAAAAAGAATGTTCAAGAAAATGTACAGCTGCTACAACACCAAAATGGGCTTGTTCAGATTTTTTGCTTCCACCATACTTGTACTATTCTTGCTTTCTTCCTTCAGCTTCCATTCAACAGGTTAGTTATCTTGACTATTTACTTGGATTTTACTAGTTGCTTAGGTTGGCTTGATTCTCTGTTCTTACTCAACTAATACCCGTCCGGTTTAATTTGTTAGTCTGATTTTAATTTGATACAAAGTTTATGAAATCAAACAAGACTTTTGAATGGTATGGTTTTAAACTAAATGAACACAAAAACATACTTCAATTTTTTGATATTAAACATGTCATGCTTAGAAAAACGTGTTCTTTGGACTAAAAATAAATAAATTGAAATAGAGTCTGTAATTATTACGTTAGAAAGTCACTTTTTTTTAATTGGACAAATTATAAGATAATAGCTATTAGTTGAGGGAGGAAAAAATTGCTCTTGTTGGCTATTTTCTGAGAGATTAGCATGTTTATCTATGATTTAAGAATCAAAAATTTGATTTTAATGGTAACGGTTATATCTTTGTTGCTATGATTGGACATATATATCAAGTACTATCAAGGGACTCTGTGAACTGAAAAATTCAGTATTCTGTTTCTAGTCAAGCAAAATCTTGTTAGGCAACAGGACATTGGGTGTTAATTTGGTTTATTCTTGGAAAAAATGAGCTTCAAGATTAGATTTTTAGTGTCTTTTCTAGTACAAAATGAATGTACTGCATGAATTGAAGCAATTTTAATTGTGGTGATAATTTCATTATAAAGAACTAATTAAAATCTTGGCTTAACAGTTTCTGTTATAGCCTCTGTGGTATCATGGTCAAGATTTATGATTAAAATGATGTCGTGAAATAGAAAATCTGACTCTTCTTTGCAGCTTTGCATTCTCCAAAACATAGGATTGAAGGAAATTCACTATAGTTGACTCCCATGCTTAAATCAGTGGTTCTGTAATTTAATTGTTTCTCGGTTGAATATGAACTTAGAAATTACTGTAGAATTGTTAAGCAATCTGAAATAATAATTTTCTTCTCTTTGTAGTTATTCATATTGTGAGATTGCAGGATTTTAGGTACCACCAGTTATATAACAAGCTGCATTTTAAATGAAGGTTAAGATTTCTGTGTTTAAATTGTGCATGTACTACTAAAATTTGACTTATAGCAGAGTTTATGAAGAAAAATCTTCTCCGAAAATATTTTCCTTGAGAAACATATTCATTGTTTGGTCTAATTTGTGGGCCAATATTAAACATTATATCTGAAACTTGTCTTCACTTCCCCATTGATATTGCGTTATCAAGAGATTACTGTGCATAGGAAAGTGTAGGTGGTTTTTAACTAATACATTTTACTTTTTTCTACCAGATGCCTTTGATCCACTTGATCCAAATGGAAACATTACTATAAAATGGGATGTGATCAGCTGGGCACCTGATGGATATGTGGTAAGTAACAGTAATCTTGATCATCTATTGATTAGTTAGACCTCCCTTAGATGAATCTTTAGATCACCTCCACCCAATAGAGCAGGCTAATTTGGATGCAGTTTATTCATCTCGATAGCTTTGACGTACATGACATAGAGTTTTAGTCATTTAAGCTTGACAGTCCTTTTTTGACTCCCTTCTCTTTATTTTCTTCTTCTGATAAGCATTTCTCAAACTGGAAGCTTCTAATCATTAACCGTTTGGAAGTTAACAGGCTGTGGTGACAATGTACAACTTTCAACAATATAGGCATATTCAAGCACCGGGCTGGAGTTTGGGCTGGACATGGGCAAAGAAGGAAGTCATATGGACCATGATGGGAGGTCAAACAACAGAGCAGGGAGATTGTTCAAAATATAAAGGAAATATTCCACATTGCTGTAAGAAAGATCCAACAGTTGTTGACATGCTGCCTGGAACTCCTTACAACCAACAGATTGCAAATTGTTGCAAGGGAGGAGTGATCAACTCATGGGGACAAGATCCGGCCAACGCTGTTAGCTCATTTCAAATTAGTGTTGGTGCTGCTGGAACAACCAATAAAACAGTGCGAGTACCTAAGAACTTCACATTAAAGGCTCCAGGGCCTGGTTATACTTGTGGACCTGCTAAAATTGTAAAACCGACTAAGTTCGTCTCTGCAGATGGGAGAAGAGTGACACAGGCTATGAGTAAGTTACTTGGCTCAAGTACATGCAGTTCCCATTCTTATGATTGGCAACTTGTGTGCCAATCTTACAAACCTTAGTCAAGTTCATTAAGATACACACAGTTGCAATCTATTGAAGATTGGGTTCTAACCTTTCATGTTGTCCTTGACAGTGACTTGGAATGTCACATGCACTTACTCACAGTTCCTAGCTCAAAAGACTCCTACATGTTGTGTGTCCCTCTCATCCTTCTACAACGACACGATTGTGCCCTGCCCGACGTGCACTTGTGGCTGTCAGAGTAATGGCACTCAGCGTGGGAGTTGTGTAGAGTATGACCCAGAATTTCTTTTCACCAATTCTAATTAGCATTGTTATTATTAAAGTGTTTTTATTAATTACTTTCTTCTCAAGCTTTATTGCAGTCCAGAAACGCCACACCTAGCTTCAGTTGTATCAGACCATGGGAAGAACAATTACGTTCCTTTGGTACAATGCACAAAGCATATGTGCCCAATTAGGATTCATTGGCATGTGAAACTCAATTACAAGGAATATTGGAGAGTGAAGATCACTATAACAAACTTCAATTACCGGATGAATTATACACAATGGAACTTAGTTGTCCAACATCCAAACTTTGA